ATATATATATATATATATATATATATATATATATATATATATACATATATATATATATAACAACTGGCAAACATTTAATCTAATTTTGTATTTCAGTGCATTTACATGATATACTTTCAGCTTTAAAGGGAAATCTAGATCATTCTAATTGTTCTCTGATATTTCACCTTTGTGAAACTTTAAAGTCCAATAAATGAGCTACAACTTTACAGCCACTGACAGCAGAAATTAATGACATAATTCAATCATTCTATTTCAGGGAATATGTATCATCAAAGACCATCAACAAGGTGGTCCAGGTGCACGACCGTATCTTCTGCTGCATGGCAGGCTCACTTGCAGATGCTCAGGCCGTCACTAAAACTGCAAAGTTTCACCTGTCCTTCCACGGGTATTCACACCTCACACGTGGACATCATACAGACAAAACATAATTTTTCATACAACTTGAAGTAATAATTCATCATTTTTACTTTGTTTGCATATGGGAAATAAAGAAAAGTAATAATAAAAAAACCAAAACAAACAAAAAACATAACAAAACAAACAAACCTGGACTTCAATTCAGTCCAGACTTCAACTGAATTGAAGTTCGGTTGTTTGTTTGTTTTAACTTTTTGGGATTTTTTAGTTGCATTACTTGCACATTTCTACACTGGTTCTTTTAGTTTATGGCTCCTCTTGTTTCATACGTACAAAGTTAACGTTATACTAATTTATATTGTGCATAAAAAATGTCTTTATGTATCTGTCGCAGCGTTCAGATGGAGAGTCCTCCTCTGGTGATCGCAGCAGCATCCGTCCTGAGGGAACTGTGTTACACAAACAAAGAGGAGCTGCAGGCCGGCTTCATCACAGCCGGCTGGGACAGGAAGAAAGGACCACAGGTAAGTGACAGCAAAAAGGCCCAGCTGTATGTTGTTTACCTGCACTGCTGATGCTCTGCATCCCTCTCCAGGTGTATGTTGTGTCTCTGGGTGGGATGTTGGTCAGTCAACCTGTCACGATCGGAGGCTCAGGAAGCACCTACATCTACGGCTACGTTGATGCTAAATACAAACCCAACATGACCAGAGAGGAATGTCAGCAGTTTGCAACCAACGGTAAATTTTAACTAACTGGCTTATTTACAATTTATGTATTTGTCAGATTAGTTAGAGTTGAGGGGAGACATCATTTTGATTGAAAACTAATGAATAGAAATCAGAATGTAGCTAAAATTCTCACTCTTAACAATGACAATTGCTAAAATATGACACTAATATATAAATGTGGTCTAAAATGAGTGGATAGATTTATATTTCTATAATCTATTAAAAATAAATCAGTTTGTAATAAAGTTACCTGGATCTTAAAACGTGATGAGCAGCAGTTAAAATATCTGATCAAGCTGATTTTTCACTCTTGTCTCCGTCCGCAGCTCTGGCCTTGGCCATGGGCAGGGACAACGTCAGTGGAGGGGTTGCTCACCTGGTGGTGATCACAGAAAAAGGGGTGGAGCATGTGGTTGTACCTGGAGACAAGCTGCCAAGATTCAATGATGAATGACCTTTTTTTTCTTTCATTCCATTAAAAATTGTTATTTAGACCTCATGAGCCACTATTTTTACAATAATTAGACCAGTTACACATAAGTTCCACATTTAACTGATGTTAGACAAACAAAAACATGTTTATTATCTGCTGACTTTGAAGTCTTATGTGAGAAATAACTCCTAAAGAGATATTTTGGATATTTTGAAGAATGGTTCAGTAGAGAATTTGTGAAAACATTTTCTCTTACCATTTTGTAATGAAATACTTTTGTGTGCAATTTTATGCATTTTCAAACTGTATTTTTGCACTTGATAGAAAATACATAGGGGTGATGTGAATAAAATGTGATGTAGAAATAAAGTTTGAGCTTTTTAACTTGACCGTAGATTATTTTTTTTGAAAAACCTTGGTTTGGAGAACTAGAGTTTAAGTCTGACAGGACTGTTGAGCCAACAGCTTGTCCAAATACAGCCAAGAACAAAGCAGATTACTGACATGTGAATACATTTGCAACTTTTTTAAATTTGGCCATCTGTGCCAACATTCTTTGATATACTACAGTCAGTTTTGCAACAGAATCCTGCAGTTATTTGTAAGTTCAACAACCGTAAGTTAAAACATTTTTAATGTGGGAATTTTACCAGATTTTTTGCTATGCATTTTTTTAAACAAAATACTGTAAATGTAGTTTATGCATGAAATATTTGAAAAGTGAAGTAATTTCAAGACAGCAAAATCCACTTTGGAAGTGGACCAGCTCAAACATCAGCTTGTTGTTAGAGTCCAAAAGAAATGTACAGCTTGTAAGATTATAACTTTTTCAGAGAACATCAAGGTTCATGCTCAATCATCCATATAAATATCCAACAGTGTTCATCCAGGTCACCTGGACAGTTTCGGGAGAACCTCACTTCAAAATGTCTGGAGCATTTCTTTATATCTGCTTTCTCATAAAAGGTTAAGCAAGTAAATCGTTATCAATCATCAAATTTTAAACCTGACTTCATCAGGCACGTTAAGTTTTATGTTGTAATAATAATTTGTATGTTTTATTATGTAGCTAAAACGTTTAGATTTACAAATGTTTAATTGTGGTTCCTTTTTTTCTATAGCTTCAAAGTATTTTCTTTCAGTGTTATTTTATATTTCAAATGTTGATTAGTGCATTTCAAGATTGTGAACATTTATATAAACTCTTAGCCTAAGTAACCTGGTCGATGCGCACTTTTTGCGCAGTGAAAAAGAGAAACAGGCTCTGCTGAGGAGGAACGATTTAACTTTCAATTTCGGTTTAACTAAAAAATGGAGTCCATCTAAGTTTGAATGTAGAGCTGGTCTGATCCATGAACAACTTGTGAAAGCGCTTTAGAGGTTTTAAAACAGTTGGAACAGCGAGTGGAAAACACCGGAGCTGCTCCCAGCGCGTCTCCTCGGGTCACTTCGTCGTTTTTCTGCCATGTTGGGAGAAACGGAGCCGCACTGGTTGTCAGAGGAGGTGAAAACAGGGGTGAGAAAACGATTTTAACATATTTAAGAAACCCTGAGGCTTCTTGCGCGCAGCTCAACGCATTTGTATTTGCTTATTTGTGCACATTTGCCAAATTACGCAAACAAATCCTTCTGTCTAGACAACCATCATTGCCATCGAGTATGACGGAGGGGTCGTGCTGGGCTCTGATTCCAGAGTCTCTGCAGGGTAAGTTCATTTTACAAGACATAAGCAAGACTCTCAAATGTTTTCTTTTGATCTTTACTAAATATTTCTTTTTGTTATGTTTGAATATTCGACCCTCCCCCATCCTTCCACCCAGGGAATCAGTGGTAAACAGGGTGATGAATAAACTGTCTCCACTCCATGATAAGATCTACTGTGCTCTGTCAGGATCTGCAGCAGATGCTCAGACCATCGCTGAGACAGTCAACTACCAGCTGGATGTCCACAGGTAAAAACACATTACAGTTAACCTGCCTGCACCCTGCTGCAGCAAAACTAACAATAAAAGCACAGGTGTATGTGTGCACGCATGATTGTCATGTGTGTCTCTTACTCTGTGATGGCCTTATGTCCTGTCCAGGTGTGGACCTCTCAACAGGTGAAAGGGTATTAAACTGTATACTAAAACTAAATGTATTTTTATTAGAAAACATCACCAATTCTTCTAAAAATTAACGTCTAAATATTTTATTGTACTACACAGAATCTTTAAACCATGCACCTTTAATTTATTTTATGTTTTGCTTCCATGGAGCATTACAGACTTTCTGGAGATTTTTTTAAATATATATATTTTTTTTACTTTTTCACTGATTTTATGTGCAATCCTGACAGCATAGTGTTCAGAGTGTGCTTAAAGAAACGAGGAAAGTAGACAAGTAGGGGACAAAAGAAGAAGTGTAAAACCCATTTACAGCTGAAGACAAATTAGGACCTGAGAGAAACACAGTTCTTCCGTTGGTAATTTACTGTTTCACAAGTGTTCAACTAACAACTCTTTTTCAGTTAGTGATAAAATTAAATTTTACATCTGACAAATTGTGTTATCTTTAGTATTTTTTTATAGACTCGAAGGAACTCTTTATGTTTTTGTGTGAAGCTGCTAATGACAAAGTGCCCAAAGATCCAATAAGTTCTTTGAAACAGTCTTGTGTTCGGACAGCACTCGTTCATTCTTTAAATTTGTTCCTGAATCCTGAGGTCACATTTCAGTGGTGTAACAAAACCAAAACAACAATAACAAAATATTCTTCAGAAAATTATACTAGACTAAAAATAAGTCTTAAAGAAACCTAAATCCACTGAAAAACCTTCAGAAAGCCCAGAAAACTATTATTAAACATCAGTATAAAGATTATAAGAAAGTATTGCTGCTTGGAGGCAATTTTAACAAAAGGGGCTCATAACTTCTTGTAAGACTTTGAGATTCACCAAATACATTTAAAATTCAGTTCTCAGTGACACGGCAGCTGTAACACAGTGGTTAACAAAGTTCATGCTCAATCATCCAGGTACCAAATCCAATAATGCTCAGTCAGAGCTGTTGCCTCACAGCAAGTTGCAGGTTTTCCTCCAGACTGAGGGCCATTTTCTGCTTTAATATTTATAGAACAAAGTACATTCACTGCTTTGGACCACTGCTTTCAGGGATTTGCATGCAAAACGTTATGACAAGAAATAAGATTTGTTACAGAAACTTTGACAGGATGTTTTTTGTCAGTACTGAAATAGGTGAGGACCCGCAGGTTCGCTCAGCTGCCACTCTGGTCAGAAACATCTCATACAAATACAAAGAGGAGCTGTCAGCACATCTTATTGTAGCCGGCTGGGACAGAAGAGCTGGAGGGCAGGTTGGTGACCTCATGGTGTTAACTGCAGCTAAAAACAGAATAAATCAAGTATTATCAAACATATATATCAAAATATCTCTAATTTCCTGAGTTGAACTTCAGACTGATGATGTTACTGAATATGATACAGATGTCTTCAAAGAATAATAAATTTAGCCTTTGCCCTCAGTTTCTTTTCCCTTTGACCTCCAGGTTTTTGCGACCCTGAACGGGCTCCTGACCAGGCAGCCGTTTGCTGTTGGAGGCTCCGGCAGTTTTTATGTTTATGGCTTTGTTGATGCTGAATATCGCAAAGGAATGAGCAAAGAGGAGTGCCAACAGTTTGTGGTCAACAGTAAGGCGTTCTTTATTAGTATTATTAAAATGCAAAGCCAGATCTCTCTATTTCTGCAACACGACATAAAAACTTCATATTGTATTTCATATTTTCATTTGTCAAATGATTTTCCTTCATCTTTTTCACGTAGCTCTCTCTTTGGCAATGAACCGGGACGGCTCCAGTGGTGGTGTGGCCTATTTGGTCACCATCGATGAACACAGCACAGAAGAGAAAGTCATCCTGGGAAATGACTTACCGACCTTCTTTGATCAGTGACACGTGTGTTTAATTCGTGTTTTCTAAATGTCGCTGCTCACTGCAGCTTGAAAACTGTAAACTTTGTACAAGTGATAATCATAATAAAATGGAGACAAATGTTTATTTCATTAATGTAATCATTTATTATTTAAACATGATTGTGAGTATTATTAGGTAGTCTTTATGTTAGTGTACATTCTTTAGGTTTGATAATTTAGTTTAATAAATAAGAAACATTTATATAAACAGACATAACACTGAACACGTTCTTATCAGGAAGTCTTTATAAGTTTGCTGAAAAACTGTATTAATGAGTATCCATTTACTCAATCTATTGTTGATAGACAGACCATTGATGCAACTGAACATTTTAATTCATTGCTGTGTTAATTTCTCACCTTAAATTCTAAACAATAATTTAGCAGGTTATTAATAAATGTTGTAGGCTACATCTATAATTTCCAATACAGACGGACAGTTTGTTACATAAATATTTGATTGTATTTTAAAATGAAAGTGGTAAAACAATTCTTCCATCTGCAGGGAAACCCCCAAACTTCAGAAAATGAAACTGAAAGTGAGTTAAACTAAACTCTGGTCACAACAGAGCAGGTCGTATTAGGATGACTGCAGCTGAAAAATGGCAGGACAACCTGTAACAACATTTCACAAAGCTGTAGCTTTAATTTCAGCAGTTTGCGTCGACCTTTTCTTCTTTTACGCGTCAGGGTTTGTTGCAATTCACGGCGCGTTTGGGCATCTGGCGCGTCTGTGGGTCTTTGCAGCTCTGCGATGGTCAGTCATTATTTTTGTAGCTCTCCTCATACTGGGAGACCTCAAGCCGCGGCTGATTCGTTTCATAACGGCTCACAGTCTGCTTCCAGCCGTGCTGGAGACCGGAACCAGGCTTTACGGTGCGGAGAGCCAGTGCGGTCAGGTGGTGGATGTGCGCTGCTGGCTCATGTTCGCCGGCGCGTCGCTCGGAGCTGCGCTCTTCTGGGAGATCACCATCCCGGACAGCGATGAGGAGGCTGAGAGTAAGGAGCAGAAACACAAGTCCAGAGTTCTGTTCATGAGAGTCCTTCACCTTTACAAGCCCGACTACCTCCTGCTGCTCGGAGGTCTCGTGTTCCTGTCGCTGGCTGTCATCTGTAAGTAAAGGAGATGATGCATTGAGTACACTGTCAGTTGCTGTTATTATTAGTCTACTGTTGAAATCTAATCTTGTGTTAACACGTCAAAAACTAAGAGAAGTTGTTACCCATCCATCTGAGAGGGGTTAAAGGTAATGTTCAATCTATTTGGAGTCCATCATTCAACAAAGACAAATATTATTCACAACTTTTAAGGCAGATGCTAATTGAGTGTATGTCCTTGCAAATTCACCCGGAAGGACAGACTGTACATTGCTCAGAGAAGTTAAAGGTATAAGATTGATTATGACGATTAGAAAAAGTCTAAGTATGACTTGTTCGAAAGGGATGCACAAGAAATCCTATTCTCTTTAAAAAGAACACGGTGGCATGACTTAGGTTTGGAAAGTTTTATCTGAATGAACCACAAGACTTCTGGAACAATGTCCTTCGACAGATGAGAGAGACCAAAGTAGAGATGTTTATCCAGAATGCACAGCAGCATGCTTGGAGAAAATAAAACACAGCATAACAAACACCTCATACCAACTACTGTATCAGCATGGCGGTGGAGGGTTGATGGTTTGGGCTCCTTGCAGTCATTGAGCGGACCATGAACTTCTCTGCAGACCAGAAGATTCTAGCTTGGAAGTCAGGTTGCAGGGGCAACAAGTCCAGGAGAGAAACCCACACAGCCTTCTCACCAGCGACACTCTCAAGGTCATCCTGTGGGGCCCCAAGGTGACTAGAGAAGATTTACAGTCCTCCCAGCAACTCTTGGGTCTGCCTTGTGGTCTCAGCCCAGTGGGATGTGACTGGAATCACCACTTTAATGTGGTGGAGGTGTTTGAGTACCCCTATGATCCTATGGGCTATATCATTTGGGCATTAGCCACTAGTTGGGTCTCCCAAAGCAAATAGGCTTCAGGGGATGTGTAACCAAGAACATTTAAAAAACTTGATGAATAGATCACAACTATGCATCAGGAAACTTTGTCCACAAAAGGGAAACCGGCTTCTCTCCCTGGAGCCAGTCTATGGGGAAGACCTTGTTGGCCATTGCCTGGGGGTCAGGCTCCTGGGGCTTGGTCAGTCCAAGTCCAAAGTAGAGACAGGATGCCACTTTCACGTGGGCCCACCACCTGCTAGGGGGGCCTACAAAGTAGGGTGTCATGGACGCTGGGCAGCAGGCGAGGGAGGGCCACTGGCTGTGCCGATTTCTCTCAACAAAAACAAGCTCTTTAATATGCTCTGATATAGATTCCTAAAACCTAGCATGAACTTTTTTTATCCCTAAAACTGTATACTGGTGCTGGTACAGGTTTATGTTATTCTTAATTTCCCTGCAGATGTTTAAAATATCCACGTGTCTTTTCTCAGGTGAGATGTTCATCCCATTCTACACAGGCAGAGTCATTGACATCCTTGGAAGTCATTACCAACAAAATGAATTTCTCACTGCACTTGTTTTCATGGGGCTGTTTTCAGTGGGAAGGTATGGGACAATATTTTATCTCCACATTCACCACTCTGCCTGCCTTTAATATCTAACTCAGGTTTTCTTTGATCTGTTGTAGTTCAGTGAGTGCCGGCTGCAGAGGGGGTGTCTTACTTTGTGCCATCAGCTCATTTACATGCAGAATCAAAGTGATGCTGTTTGAAGCTTTGACTAAACAGGAAATTGGGTTTTTTGAAGTCATAAAAACAGGTAAGCAGCAAAAAGCAGCATAAAATAAACAGAAAGACAAGATGACAAAAGACTTTCCTGATTTTCTGTGCAGGTGAAATCACATCTAGATTGTCCAGAGACACCAACCTGACAGGAAGAACAGTATGTTTGAATGTCAACGTGTTGCTGAGAACTTTCATCAAGACTATGGGCATGATCTTCCTGATGATGTCTCTGTCATGGAAGCTCACCTTGCTTGTACTGATGAAAACACCCATCACTGGTCTCATACAGAACATCTATGACACACACTACCAGGTAACAGCAGGACATGATGAATTACCATTTCTTCGGACTCATTTTTACTTTGTATGTTAATATTGCAAACTAGAGCCCACCTGCAGCTTAAGGGATGGACCTGTTTAGAAATAATATAATTTATAAACGGACAATTTGATAATGGGATATTTAGTTAGTCACCAGCAGCCTGACACAAATACACATTTTGTTCAATTTTTTTTTTTTTGCTGCATCAATAAAAACATTCCAGCAATTACACAATTTGATGGGCCAGTATTTTTTTAGAACAAAGAATAATCTATTGAGACCACTGCAAAGAACAAACACTTTATGTTGTTTACAGCAGTGTGTTAAATAGACAATGACAATTTAAAAGCATGTTGTTACACAAAACTAATCAAACACTGATTGTGCCTGCCCTGCAGTTCCTGACAGAAAATTTGCATACACTTAGTAGAAATAATAAAATTATGTGCATCTATTGTTGATGTGGCTCTGCAGTGCTTCTTTGGTTGTTTCTATCAAAACTGTTTTTTAAGCTCCAGAAGTTGTCTGTTTCTCATTGTACATGACTCACATTCCTTGTGAAGGGGGATAAATCATACTGGAAATGCATATGGTTATTTAAATATAAGTGCCATACCAAGATTTCCTGTCTTATTATGTGTCCTGTTTTCTTTCTTTTAATTCCCCAGAGGTTATCCCAGGCCATGCAGGACTCAGTGGCTCATACAAATGATGCTGCAAACGAGGTTGTGTTTGGTATTCGTGTGGTTCGAAGTTTCAACACAGAAAAACATGAAGCTGATCGTTATGATAAACGATTAATGGAAACACACACTCTGAAAACCCGCCGGGACACTGTGGAGGCAATTTACCTGCTCGCACGGAGGGTGAGACGTTTCTTCCTGTCCTAGAATATCAGCTTTAAGATGGTAATTGTAGTCATCTTTTTTACTTGAGCTTGTTATTGTGTATGTCTGTAGTTTACAGGTTTGGGGATGCAGGTCTTTATTCTGTACTATGGCAGACTTTTTATCCGGATGGGACAGATGACCACAGGAAGTCTCGTTTCTTTCATCATCTATCAGTCAGATCTTGGAGACAATATCAGGGTGGGTGTATACTACTGTTAGCTTACACTTTTGAGTGGAGCAGTCTGAAGCCACTTGTAAGTGTGATAAAAAACAATATGTACTGGTGTTATAAATCAATTGTACACATTTTACATCAATATTGTTACTTTAGATATGTTTTTTCCCTCAGGGAAAAAAATCATTGTGCTTTTATGTACATTGTTGAAAACATTTTTATTAAGACACTAACAACCTCAGTTTTATAACCAACATAGTTAGGTATTATTACTTACCAAAAATATTTTGAGGTTGTCTTTTTTAAGGAGAAAATCTGCAGCTTTGACAGAAACGTTGAAACACATCTCACAATGTACATCTCTAGGTTATCTTACACATCTCTAAACATTCTGTCTCTTGTTTTTCAGACACTTACTTATATCTTTGGTGACATGCTGAACTCAGTGATGGCTGCTGGGAAAGTGTTTGAGTACCTGGACAGAAAACCTCAGGTCAGCACAGATGGAAAACTCAAACCGGATCAGCTGAAAGGACACATCAGATACCACAGTCTCAACTTTGCCTATCCTTCAAACCCCAACAAAACTGTGCTGCAGGTGAGAGAAATACTCTTTTATTTTTAGTGTGAGGCGTAAGAGACTGGAAGAATGCAATTTATAAATATAGACCGACGGTCGATCATAACCTACTGATAGATATCCAACACCTCATTGGTTTAGTGAAACATGCAGTGGGTTCAGGTGACAGGATCCAACTGTTCCTTTCTGGATGTTGCCAAAGGAGTTCATCAAGTTTCAGTCTTGGGACCAGATTTATTTTAAATTACATAAATGATCTGTGTAATAATTTGTCAAATGCTATCTATCATTTTATGCAGGCGACACCATTATTTATTGCTAATCATCTTTGCTTATTTTGGCTTTTGTGATTTTAAAATGACTCTTTTAATATTTTTCAATCTCATCTTCAAAACTTAAACTGGTTTTAAAAGCTGACAAAACCAAACGTATGGTATTTTATAATAAAAGAGTGCTACCAGGGGATATCCCCTCATTTTTAACTCCACAAGGAAAACATAGAGTTTGTTTCAGGTTATAAATATTTGTGTTTTCTCCTTGATGGTGAACTATTGTTTGAAGTTTACATTGCTAATTTGATGGTCAAACTCAAGCTGAAGCTTGGTTTTTAATTTAGAAATACATTTTGTTTCTCACTCATAGTTAGGACACTCTTACTATAAACTTTACTGAATGATGGTGATGTGCTGTATGAGTGTCCGATCCAAATGCCCCCAGTCCTTGGACACACAGAGCTCTAAGGTTTGACACAGGTTATAGTCACCTCTCTCGTCACTGTGAGGTGTACACGGCTGGTCTTCTCTGTTTGTGCAAATATATTGATTCTATTTCTTTTAGTGCTCTATGTGTACCTACATTCATTTACTGGAAATAAACTCTTGAATTATTTTAGGACTTTTCCTTGGATCTGAAGCCTGGTCAGATGACAGCTCTTGTCGGTCCATCTGGAGAAGGAAAAAGCACCTGTGTGAGTCTGTTGGAGAGACTGTATGAGCCTCAGGACGGAGGAATCTTTCTTGACGGGGAGCCACTTAGATCCTATGATCACCGCTTCTTCCACAAGAAGGTATTTATTCATTCATCTTTTTCTGATTATGCTATTTTGGATGAGCTCTTTGTCCTTATCTCAGATTTAAATTATCTTGAATTCACAAAACATGTTTAGAGAAGTTATTTTGTAAGAAGCAGAAACGCAATGATTTTTCTAAGACTGCCTAAGAAGATTTGTAGTTTTGTTTTCTACTAACAGTTTACTGTTTAAAATCAAGAATCAACTGAGGGATTTTCTTTTCATATTTAGTGGATGCTGTGACAAAATATGCAAATGGTAAAACTGTATACATGTAAAGCGTGTTATTCGCGTTCTTTAACAGGTTGCCGTGGTGAGCCAGGAGCCTGTTCTGTTCTCCGGCTCTGTCAGAGATAACATCACCTACGGACTTACTGGCTGCTCATTGGATGAAATTGAGGAAGCGGCACGCAAAGCCAACGCACATGAATTTATTCAACAACTAAAGAACGGCTATGATACAGGTAAACTGGTTTAACGTCTCTTACTGGTTTACATGGCTGAGTGTGCACATAAAATCCATCTTTTTGTATATTAAAAAAAAGCTAGATGGATAAAGGTAAAAACAATAGTAGAGTCAAAAGATTGTTGGAAAATTGTTGTTTTAAACTTGCACAAACTAGGGCAATCATGTCTTTATGCATCTGCTTGTTTTTCATGTTGTGGTCCTCAGTTTTAATTTATTGTTAATTATTTCTCAGAGGTGGGTGAGAGTGGCGGCCAGTTATCCAAGAGCGAGAGGCAGCGGATCGGCATTGCTCGAGCTCTGATCAGACAGCCCAAGGTCCTCATTCTGGATGAAATAACCAGCTCTCTGGACTCTGAGAGTGAAAATAAGGTACTATAAAACTCTTAGGGTATTATTCAAAAGCTTCACGGTCTTCATTTGTTTGAAATAGGATCTAAATAGATAATTAATGAAGAAAAGCTTTATTATTATTATTATTATTGTTACTATTATGGTTTAACCGTTTGCTAAGCCTCTGGCTCGGTGAGTCTTTCGTTAAAACAATTAACTGAGCAAAAGATTTGATTATAGAGTCGTGTACAGTGATATACTGTTCTGTTTGCATGATGTCTTATTTTATGAAAGGTTTTAAATACCATCACCATTACAAAGTGAAATTTGTCTTTTTATTAATCAAATCAAAGTATCAAAATATTAAAGTGTTTTCTGAGTCATAAAATATTAATTGCTCACTGGTTGTCACAAATAAAAACATATTACCGGTAATTTAAGTTACTTAATGTTTTTTTATTATTTTTTTTAAGTTTGGTGTAAACTGATGACACAGCTTGTTTTCTTGTATTTATGAGTACATTTGAAAAACATCTAAATAGTTAGTTTGCTATTTTTGACTCTGTTCGGACTAAAAAAGAGTGATACCAGGCAGTGATGCTTAAATTAAGCATACGTCTGTTTTTGGCTCCATGCAGGTCCAGCAGGCCTTGGCAGGCTGCCCTGATCAGACTCTTCTGGTGATCGCTCACAGGCTGAAGACCATCGAGAAGGCAGACCAGATCGTTGTGATCAGTGGAGGTAAAGTGAAGGAGCAGGGGACTCACCAGGAGCTGATGGAGCTGAAGGGGAGTTACCATAAACTGAGAGAGGAGCTGTTCAGTGAGCGAAACTCAGCACGATGAACTCCTGAGAGTTATCGGTGATGAAGCTGTAGCTTAACGTGATGTGAGAGAAATGTTCTGCATGTGATGCAGGTTTTGTACATTATATATTCTGATTGCTTTGTATGAAATATTAAACGTTTAAAGTGTTTTATTTATTAAAACTGCTGATCAAATTAAACCTTTGACAGTTTCTGTGAAATATTCCTCTTTATGATCTATATTTTTTTTCCATTTTATGTTCTGGTATTTGATAAAACATGAATAAATGTTTAACACAGCAGGTCACTACTTCCACTATAAACACTCATTGTTAATCTGAGGGGCCAAAGGTTGCTTTATGGGTGATATGTCTCAAATAAAAGATTTATCACCAGCTTGAATCTGATTGTGTTTACTGAAACTGTATTTTTTATTACATCTGTTGCTTATTAATAAAGTCCGTTTGCAGAATTGCATAGACTTAAAACTAAATAATTATGGAGAACAAATCTTTGCAGCAACACTTCATATCTGTGGTGAAAACAAACCCAACACCACAAAGAGATGACAATAAATAAATTAACATCTCAACAGTTACAAAGCAACGTGCAAACTTTTTTAAAATAATGCAGATTTTTTGTTTTTTGATCAAAATAAGTTGTGATTTTATAGTTCTTGTACCAACTTGTCAGAATCAGTCGAGTTCATTTTATTTCTGGTTTTAAGCTACGGGACTTCATTTTTGATGCTGCAAATGAAAATGAAAGAATTTTTGATGGAGTGCATGAAAATGCAGAATTTGTGGGTTGGGTTTAATTGTCTGAACGGACCTGGAAAGTCCCTGACAATCAACATGTTTTTCTTTTGGCATTAAAACAATCTGGAAAGCTGCCTGCTGTCCACAGCGTTCCGTCTGAACACCACCTCCCTCTATCGACTAACATCAAAATCTGGCATGGCATCGTATCACGCCATTTTGTCACAAAGGCTGTGCTCCTACAAAATGGAGACTGAGGTCACATGTTTCAATGTTACACATTTGTTTCACATTCTGAAAACTGCAAAGTATAAAAATTATTTACATTTTGTCCTGTGAATTTACTGCAGATGCAGCACAACTTCCCTTCAACTGGTTATACAAACTTTAACTTGCACCTTTGTACATAAAATACAATAATCTAAAATTGTGATGCAGAAAATTACACTAAAATAATTTTATGTGATTTTCTGTATAATTGAAGATAAAGTATGAATAACTTAAGTTAAATATATGTTTGTGCATGAGAAACACGATTCTGTATCGCCCCCATATTTTTTCTTATTTTGCTAAGTTGTCATTATTATTATTATTTTAACAATAACTGAAAGTCCAGTGAGGGTTAAATGTCTTATATTTAGCCTTTAAGATGCCCCGGATGAATTATTAAAACTTATGATTTACACAGAAAAAAAATCCTTCAAGTTAAAACATTGCTCTTTTGATTTACAAGTTTTCTTTTAGTTCAATGAAATCTTTAATCTTGGCTGCTTCTATCAACAATCCTGCACCCATAGATATAAACATATCTATGCCTGCGCCACCCTGCAGGGTGAAAAGGCGGGAGGGCACAAAATCAACGCCCTCAGTCGCCATTTTAGGCTCTGCTTTCACAAAATGGCCGATAGTGCACAGTAAAAACAAGTTAAAAATAAAACTGAATAAAAGATGATCTCATTAGCTTGGGCTCTTATTTCATTACAGTTTATTAAATGCAAACTTGGATAAAATTTTCAGTCCTCATGGTGCACCAGTTGCATATTTACTTGCACGTGTGTTTCTGAATGTGCTGTGAGGTTTTTCGTCCAACCAGTTCTGCACCATACTGTTGCACCACACAGGCCAGCAGGAAAATCCCGTCTCTTCTTTCTTTCACTTTCTTTATCGTGTTGTGTAATGGACTGCCTAACTCAACCACAGACGCACCTAAAGTCTTGTGACTGAGACCGGCAGCCTTTGACTTTTCATGAACTTTAAGGCAAACTTTTTTTCAGTCATGATTTTATGGGAACATTCTAGATGCTGGTCACATAAAGGAACCACTGCAGATGTCAGATATCGAAAGAAAAACTAATTTTTATTACAATAAGCACTCTCGGCCTATAGAGAATATGCAGGACTATGAGTCCGATTGTTTCCAAGCAGCTCATGAGTTTAGACTTTATGCTATAAAATATGAATTCTTCTGACATTTTAAGACATGGTGGTTAGAGAAAACATGTTGCTTAGTTCTTCAGACAAAAATGATAGTTGAACAAAATGCTCTGACTTCTGAGAAACAACCATTTTGATCGGCTGTTAAGGGTCATCAAAGGCTCTAAACGCTAAAACTAAACTCTAGTGACGCTTCTTATCAGCTGCTGAAGAATCCAGTTTTTTATGGTGATTCACGTGAACAAAGTGAATATGTCTAATGCACAGAATGCTACGTTTTAATAGACTGAATGCTTTTTCCTAAAGTCTACATTCATATAAAGTTTTTGTTTTGTTTACATTTCAACAGGTGGCTTTCAGGGGTCCTCATACTCACTAATGTGGATGTTGCTTTGGTCGGCCGTGGTGAAGAAAGAGTTGAGTCAAAAGGCAAAACTCTCGATATACTGGTCGGTCTATGTTGCATTTTCTTTGCTGGGTGAGGAGCTGGAGGGAGCTCTGAGTAGAGTAGCTGCTCCTCTGCATCAAAATGAGTCAGCTGAGGTGGGTCATCTGATTAGCATACCTCCTGGACCTAGAGGATTTTTGGTCACGTTCCAATAGGAAGAGACTCAGGGGCAGACCCAGAACTTGCTGGAGGGATTGTGTATCTTCTCTGGCCTGCAAAGGGGTTGGGATCCACCTGGAGGAGCTGGAGAGTGTCGCTGGGGAGAGGGAGGTCTGGGTTTTTCTCCCAGACCTGTTGCCTCTGCAACCTACGAATTAATGATAGAATATGGACTTAGAGCTCACTGCCGGTAGGCTGCATCTCTCCTATCATTGTTTTAATCCATCCATTAATCGTCTTTTACTCACCTTTCCTTTCAGGGTCATGGGTAGTGTCTATATCCTGCAGTCACTGTGCAGATGGGGTAATCCCCCCCCCTCCCCCCTGGACTGCTGTTTTTACACCTGATGCTCTTCCAGACACATCCACCAATCACAGATCGACCACAGCCCACACAAGGCTGCAGCCATCTAAGGTGTCTGCGGAGCAGATGGGGGCATTAAGGGCTTTGCTCAAGGGCCTAGTGGGCAAATGAGGGTGGAGGCAGATGTGGGTGCTACACCATTCCCACCCAGATTTTGATGTAACCTTCAGGGGATTTGAACCAGAGACCTCTCAGTCTACCCTGCTTCTATTAATGAAACATTTGTTTTATTTAATAACAAAGGCTTCAACACCAAAGCTGATGTGAAAGCCACTTGTGTGGTGTTCATTATTGTTCTTATTCTAAACGAACCACCTTTTTTCTGGACCTAAATGTGCAACAATAAAAAAAAAGTTACATAAGTTTGTTCATCTCGTAGGCCTTAACATAATAAAGTCAGGCCTTGGTAAAAAAAAAACAAAAAGAGGTACAAGATCTCAGCTGTGCCTCCTAAACTACCTCTTCTTATTTAAAGTGTCTGTCCCTGAAAACCTGCTGCTTGACAAAACAAGCATCAGAGGACCGTTGAACGCTGCTGAATCATCTGGGATTAGCTTGACCATCACTTGATAAATTAGCTTCTGTGTGACATAATACGTCTCTCTGGTCCTTTCTAAAGCGAAAGTAATGAAGGAACTGATGCAACACCAAGCACAACAGAAACGACACCAGTGCAGCACCATTTCGACTCCTCAGCTCCTTTTGTTTGACTAATGTTTGACATATGAGGTTGAGCAGAACATTAGAGACATGTACAGACAAATAACTTAAATAATTAATGTGGAGTTGATTCAGATAAACTATGTGAATATATTTGGGCTCTCACCTTGGGTAACATGAACTACATTTCTTGGGTGTGTGGAGTTTTGTTTGGTTTTATAAGAAGGTAATCTCCCTCACTTGTTTTGTGAATCCCCTAAAATCCCCTGGGGAGGGTGAGAAATAAAACTTTTACTGCAGCACAGGTCAATAAGATTTCAGCTGATAAAATGTTTTCCTGATTTGGTGACAATATAAAAAACACCCAATCAAACACACAGGATCACAAGGGCCGAGTAAAGTATGAGCCAATAAACCAAAGCTGAAACACAAAGAGCATCAAAACAGAAAGTAATTCTCTGACAGTTCAATAAAACACAGTTCTTCTCTCTGTAAAAGAGTCAGAGCACCCCACCCGGTTGTTTTTGGCACTTTTACCAAAACACCATGTGACTTTTTGGAAACAGGTAAAGTTAGGGGATTCTCAAGAGGCTGAGTGAATTTGTTGCTCTTCACTGACATCTAGTGAGAGAAACAACAAAGATGGTTGCATGTGGTTCTGATGTGTAACAGTGTTTCAGGTTGAAGATCACAGGCTTCATGTGGTAAAAGAGGATGAAACCACAAGCACTGATGTGCACAGAAATAACAGCCACAGGGTCGCACGGGTGCAGCCAAAACCCATCGAAACCTCTTGTTGTAAGATTTCTTAAGATCTAAATAATTCAGCAGGTTTAAAATACATACAGTTATTTTATTGTCTATGTGTATCTTCAAAATGGATAAAAAAATCAGGCAGGTTTATGGAACAGAAGTTACAAAACACCATCTCACTGCTTCCACACTGAAAACAATAATTCAAGGCCTAAATCCTACACGAGTTCACGTGTAATGTCAGAATGTCAGGGGTTAAAAAGGTGATGGGTGACATCACCAACAAAACAGAAACCTAAAAACCAAACAGCATCCAGATGGCCACCAGCACTCCAAGAGCTCGTGTTTGGCATTTTCACCAGTCACCCACGTGATTTCCTGTAAATCTCCAGCCTGGTGAATCAGCAACTGTGTGCAGGCTTTTCTAAATGTATCAGTAATAGATTACGAGTGCCCTCAAGTGG